ATGGAGTCAAATAAGCAGCGAAAAACTCAAAAGAGAGAATATTCGGAATATTATAAGAATTTGAGAAAACAGCAAAAAAAGAAGAGAAAGGTTAGAGCTAATATATCAGAAGGAGAGTTAAAGCAAGACCAACCAACCACAAGATCCAGACATCGCTTAGCCATAGATCTACCCAAAGAAGCATCAAAGAAGAGAAGACTGGGTGATTCTGAGCAAAACTTGTCCAGGGAAAAAAGGATGGTCTCAGCATCTCTTCAAAAGAATCAGGGAAAAAAAGAGAAAGAAGCCATTCAAGGTCCAGCAGCACTAAAGGCCACTAAAGGCATGAGTTTGAAAGAGCTTGAACCGAGACCAAGGTGCTCAGTCGATCAGTAGCAGCACTTTTGAAGATTGTTACCCAGGAAAGTACCACTGCATTTCTGTGGTGATTAAAGAATACAAAGAGAAAAGACATTTTAGCTTTTCCTTTTTACAAAGAGAAGCAAGACATGAAGTGCAAGTTTTGCAACAATCAGGGGATCATCCCGGCATCCCACTTTTGTTTGGTGTCGTCTTGAAGAAAAAGCCCGTCAGTCTCGTGCTAAAATACCATGGGGAGGGTAGTGAAAGCCTCACAGTTTACAAAGCGGTGAAAAACAGTAGCGTTTCCGAGCTGAAGGATTGGAAGAGGATTCTTCATGACACAGCAGTCGCGTTAGACCACATTCATAGGTGTGGATTTATGCACAATGACCTCAAATGCAACAACGTTGTTTTAGAGAAACGTGAGGACCAGCTTCTTCACCCCATTATAGTCGATTTTGGCAAAAGTGTTGCCTTCACGAAAGCTAAAATTGCCGTCCCAAAACCGTCGCATTTAAAAGGCCATTATAAAAATAGTTACATTGCGCTGGAGCTTGTAGACGGAATGAGAAAACCATCAGTTAAAAGAGATGTTTATTCTTTGACTTACCTAATTAACAAAGTTTATGGACTTTTAAAGTTCAAGACCATGCCCTGCATTGAGAAGGGAATAGGCCATCGATCATAGAAATAACATCAGCTCTACGTGCCGCTTTTTAGGCTATTTTTTAGTTTCTTCTTTATATGTATTTTATGCTGTGACATTTGGCCAGGACTATATCCAGACATTGCCCGCGAATTATTGTTGCCTTGTTTCAGACATTACTTATAGAAAAAAAATAAGCTTAAAGCATTACTATTTAGGTTATTTGAATTAAACCTGTTGAGTTTTTCTACAGCATTTCCCTGGACTATTGTTTCGTTGTGCAAATAAATTAGTGGAAATTATTGTTGTATCTGGAAATTCATTAAACATGTAGTCATCGGAAGTTGCGGTTTTTCTCATTTTAACTGAGTGGAGCCTAATTGACTTTTTCTGGCGATTATCGGATGTCCTGGAGTGTTCAGCAAATACTTCATGCCACCTCGCGGTATCAAACCTTGGCTGGAATTACATATGTAAATGAGCTGGCTGCACATTCAGTGTGCAGCCAGCTCATTTGCATAGGATTTTTTTCAGGTGCAAAGCTTGTCATGTGCCCTATTCTGTTTCAGACAGTAATGTGTAGTTCCAGAAGAGAGAGAGAGTTGGAGATTTTTTGTTTTGCATCCCCTCATCCCCAGGATATTCCACTTAAGCTGCATAGTTTTCTTCTAAAAGTTTATCTTTTAACATCCCCCTCATTCTTCATGGGATTTTTCTGGTATGACACAATTTGAGTGTAAAGTGCCTTCAAACTATCTTAGTTAAAATAAACTTTGTTAATGACACTGATATTCACTTTGCCAGATATGTGGATTTGACCGGCCTGACAAGAACTAGAAGTAACCATAACTTTCAATTAAGGCCTAGAGCAGCCAGGCCCGACTATTTTAAGTTTTCATTTTCAAACTGTTATGTTAATGATTGGAACTATTTACCTAATTTTGCTATGTCAGCTTCCAGTTTGAATTCCTTTAGAATGCGATTACTGAATTATCTTAGTACATTGTTTTATTTTGTCACCTCGAAATGAGATTTATTCAAATTTTACTTTTTGTCTATTGTTTAGTTGTTTCTCTAGTTTCCTCTTTCCTATACAACGTATACTTATTTATATTAGCCTTGGAGAGCAGTTTTTACATGGGAATTCGGTTTCCCCCTATTGCTTTCCCCTTCCTACTAAAGTTTTATTTAGTAATTAAGATTAATGAATATTACATGGTTATTATTAGTCATTAATTATTGTTGTGATTTTTATAAGTAATTATTTTATTAGTAGGATTTTGTACATTATTAACATTAAGCCATTAAACCTTAAACCAATTATGGTTTGTGTTTCTTTAGAACTAAACTTCCCTTGAATTTTTTCTGAAAAAGTTGGAATCAAATGACCCCTAATTGATTATTTATGAGGGGAGTGAACCTACAGACCCAAGCTCCATCCAGAAGTTCATAGATGTGAATAAACAGGTGCTACTGGAACGCAGCTGTAGCAGCTGGGTTTTGGCCTCTGGCGTGCATTTCCCAAACTTCTTGTGATCTCTAGTAATCCGGATTGTAATTTACATAAACAAAATGTTGTTACTTTGCCAACACAGCAGGGTGCTGGAAAAGCTGTTTGCACAGGTGGTGGCGTTCCTGGAAAAGTTGGGCGTCCTGGTCAAGATGGAAAAATGCTCAGTCACCCCATGCCACTGTATTGTCTTTCTAGCGGCTCGTTTGGACTCAACAATAGTGACACTTTGTCTTCCTCAGTATTGTGAACGCACATCAACTTCTCCTCGTTCAAAGGAGTGGATAATTGAGGACTCTGTCCACTCTGATCAGATGCATGAGCCATGCTTCTCAGAAAAGGATCATGCTTGCCCTGCTTCACTACAGAAGTCTCCAGTGGTTACACCTACAAGCGGTGGCTCAATATGGCCATGAGCAGAATGTACTCATCCCTTTAACCAGACCCTAGCCAACCTGGAGAGGTGGGTCTCAGAAAGCAATCATCTGAATGGCTGTCCAATACCACACCCCTGATTGGCCCTACCCTTTGGACTGATGCATCCAAAAAGGACTGAGGGGCACCATACTAGGGAATATCTGTTGGGGGCCATTGGAATGTAAAAGAGGTAGAGGCACACATCAATATCTTGGAGTGATGGGCTGCCACTTTAGCCCTCAAAGCACTACTGCAGCACCTGCAACCTGTACCCAAACATGTCCACCTACAGATAGACAACACAACCCAGTGGCCTAAATCAACAAGAGGGAGAACACACTCCCTTGCACTGACATCTCAGGCCTTAGGACTGTGGGCAGTAACCCTGAATGCAGGAGTATTCTTGAAAGCACAACATAATCTGGGGATTCTGAATTCAGTTGCAGACACAGTCTTCAAGGTCATAGAATGCCGAACCGAGTGGACCCTGGACAAAGAGATCTTCCAGTCCATTTGTTAGAGGTTCTACACACCACAGAAGTAGACCTCTTTGCATCTCACCAGACTCATCAAGTACCCAGGTATGTCTCAAGGTACCCAGATTTAAGGGTTCTGGTGGTGGATGCATTTTGTAACAATTTGGATGTAATCGTTTATTCATTTCTGGTCTACATTATATTACTAATGCCATGGTAACTGACAGACCATGCTTACTGGGTTTGGCACTCTTCTACCTGTGTGTGTGTATGTTGAATAAACAACACAGTTGTAAACTGTTTCTGCCTTCTTGTTCTTCATTCGAACAACATAACACATTTCTTCAAAATTGGAACCAATGGACTTGTCTAATTCACCCCCCTGTGGTCCTTCTTCCTCAAATCTTAAGGAAGATAAGGAAAAATCAGGCAACTGCTCTCCTAATCGCACCCAACTGGTCAGGACAACCATGGTTCCCAGAGTTAATTCAAATTGTTGTGGATCAGCCTCTGATGCTACCCCAGCTTCCATCTCTGCTGTCCCTTCCATTTCAGCCTGCAGTGCATCACCCCCTTTGGCAGTCACTTCATCAAGCACAAACAGAATAAGGAGGCGTTTGAGCGGATGCTGAGCTGAGCGGAC